TAAGCCCACCCAGGAGGCCTTTTTCTGAGCTTTTTGCTCAGGTGGGCTTGAGATACCTGATGACATTGCTAAGTCAGCCAGAAGCCCTGAGCTGCTTTCTGTAGTTTCAAAACCATGCGATGTGATCAGAGCCACCAGAGGAAGAATGACTGAGGTCATGGGCAGACACGATCTGACATGTGATATTATGGAAAGGGTAGCAGGGGATCTTGTTATAGTGACTGAGGCCTGAGTCCTGCCAGTAGCAGGTACCTCAGAAAATTCCACTAGGCCTATGGGGGCGAGTGACGAGAAGGAGCAGGCATGGGCCTCTAGTTGGATAGGACTCCAAGGTCTGGAACTTCCGACACTGGAGGGGCCCAGCCAGGCCCAAAGAAATCTGTCAGCCAAGGACCTGGAGATCCCCAAACCTCCAGGGCCTCTGTCCTGCAGACTCCAGGCAGCATTCTGGGCTGGCTATCCTGTCCTACCAGGAGGAGCTGGTAGGTCCTCCCTCATGGTTGCCCCAGGTATGGGCACATGTGGCTCATTTGGCTTTCTGATAGCAATCAGCCAGCCTGCAGAGGTGGTTCCCTGGGCAGGGCTGACGCAAACACTCGGGTGGAATTACTATCTTACAAGGGGCCAGACCTTTCCTGGAGGTTCGGGCAGGACTGTGGAAGGGAAGGGTAGTGGGTTCCTGTGATTTCATCCAAAGTAGCTCCTGTAGAATCAAGGCAAACCAGCCAGGTGCAGTGGGGTATGCCTGTAATCCCAGTGGTTTAGGAGGCTGAGGCAGGAGAATTGCAAGTTCAACGACAGCCTCCACAATTTAGTGAGGCCCTGAAAAACTTAGAAAACCCTGTCTCAAAAAAATATAAATAAAAAGAGTTGGGGATGTGGCTCAGTGGTTAAGTGCTCCTGGGTTCAATCCCTAGTACCAAAACAAAAACAACCTCGTGAACCTCAAAGAGACTCCCAGGAAGCCCAGGCTCAGCCCCATTCTAATGGGAGGTCACCAGAGTATCAGGAACCCAGTTGTCTTTAGTGCTGGCAGCTGGGCAGCCCTTTCTTAATTGTAACTTTTGTTCGGAACACCTCTCCAATCCTGCCTGTTTCCTTTGCCAGTAGTGGGAGTTATGTTGCATTGAAAAGGCCTCTCCCTGGGATGGGCTTGGTGATGCACACCTGTAACTAGACTGAAGTAGAAAAAAACACAAGTTCGAAGCCAGCTGGGCAAATTAGCAAGATCCTGTCTCAAAATAAGAAATAATGAGATCTGAGGATGTAGCTCAGTGGCAGAGCGCTCCTACACTCAATCCCTAGTACTGAAAAAACAACAAAATAAAAACAAATCAAAGGCTTCTGCAGGGAAGCTGGGCTATATAACTTCCTGCTTCCCTTCCTCTTGCCCTCTGCTCCCTCCAAGCCCATGGCTTCCTCCCATCGCCCCTCAGGGGCCTTCTGTTCTCTTGCCCTTCAGAAGCATGGTTCTCTCAATCTTCTTGACCTCTGACCTCAGGTGGTTAGCTCCTCAAGGACACTCCCAGGCAATCAGCTAAAGCCACCCGACCTTGATTCCATCTTCCCAAACCCTCCGGGGCTGCCCTTGCCTCTTATCTCACAGGTAATGCAGAAGCCACCGTCCTCTAACCTCAGGGGGATAAGTAATGGAGACCCTCCCTGCACACGCCTGTGTCCCTGTCAGGCTTTGCTGGTGCTGGGCCACCATCTGGACATCTTGCACACCCAAGCCGGTCTCTAGCAGACATATTTGGGCATCCCCACCAGGAAAGATCCATGATTTCTCTCTTTTCCCTTCAGGGGGGGAAAAAACCCTTTGAAGAATTTTCTACAGGGGTTGGGGCTGGGGTTGTGGCTCAGAGGTAGAGTGGTTGCCTAGCATGCATGAGGCACTGGGTTCGATTCTCAGCACCACATTAAAAAAAAATAAAGGTATTATGTAAATCTACAACTAAAAACTAAATGTTAAAAAAAAGAGAATATTCTACCATCGTTCTCATCCTCCCTCACTCTTCAGCCCAATGTCACTGATTCCTGTCCCCCCTATACACTGAATACTCCCCTAGAGGCCCCAGGGACCTCTTTGTCAATAATCCTAGTGGCCATATGGCTTCACCCTCCTATCCCCTCCTGTCAGGGTGCATCATCCCCTAAGTCTACCCCTTTCCAGCGCTTTTGAGCATCAGACCTGTTGACATTCAATCCTGGTGATGTCACTTCCTAGCTCCACACACTTAGCCTCTCTGAGCCCTGGTTTTGCCACTTGAAAAATAGAAATGATTTTAGAACCAGCCTCTTAGGCCAATTTTGAGGATTAAACAAATGAGTGAAATCATAAAGAATGTCAGTCCTGGCACTTAGAAGCTTAATAAGCTGGCTGGGAAGCCATGACTTCCATCCAGTTCTCTCCATTCACACCAGAATCAGCCTAGGACTCCGGCCACCTCCAATCCATAGGACCTGCTGTCCTGACCCTTCCCAGCTTTCTCAAGCCAGACTGAACTTCCCCAGATCCACACCTCATCATACCCCTCGACCCCACTCAACCCAAATGGAAACCCCACGAGTCTTCCAATGTCCCCACTACGAAACCTCAGCCCCTTCTCCTTTAATAAACTTTGTAATTATTTGAAAAACAAGGGACAGGGCTGGGGATATACTTGGTGGTAGAGCACTTGCCTAGCATGTGCAAGATCCTGGGTTTGATCCCTGGCACTGTAAAACACCAAGAAACAAACAAACAAAAAAACAATAGAGAGAGAAGGAGAGAAACACCAACATTTCTAATACTATTGCTTAGGATTTTTTGCTATTATGATACAACATGAAATCTGAAGTTTTATTGATTTATTTTTACTTTATTATAATAATGTTTATCAATATTATAACAATTATGATATATAATTATATAAATATTACTTATATTATTAAATATATCAATTATTAACATATTAATGTTATATTAATATAATAACAATATATAATATTGTATTAATACTAATTATATTATTATATATTAAATATATTAACAGAGTAATATTATAATAATATGTAATATAATAATAATAATTATTATTATTATTCTGGGGATGAAACCCCAGCCCTTTTTTAAAGACTTGAGACAAGTTCTCACTAAGTTGCACAGGACCCTGTCTCAAAATATAAAAATAAAAAGGGCTTGGAATGTGGCTCAGTGATAAAGTGACTCTGGGTTCAATCCCTGGTACCAAATATATATATATTTAAAGTAAGGTTGCTTCTCAGATGTCATGTGAATCATTTGAGGATTTCGTCAAAATGAAGTTTTTGATTCAGAAAATTTGGGGCACGGTCAGAGTCACCCCCTCTAGCGAGTGCCACAGTGGTGTTGGTGCTACAGGACTGAGGAAGGCTTTAAATCAGCCTCTCCCTCAAGACTGAGCTCTTATGGGAGGGGACCACATATGCTTTTCTCTGGGTGCCTACATACATTAAGTACTTAACAAAAGTTCATTGCATGGATGTGTCCCCTGGGCACCCAGATTGGTCCTAAGGCTCCTGTGTATTGCTCTGAGACTTCCCCTCGGTTTGTAAGATGCTCTGGGTTCAGATGCCAGAATGCCTTTTGGTGAAGGACATTGCTTTGGGTCACAGCCTCTTCATCTTCTTTCCATGTATTCGGAAGCACCTACATTCCCCTGCGTAGCATGACCTTTCCATGATTTCCCCATGCCAATCACATCATGCCGCTCCCAACCCAAACCCTGGTTTCTCCTGCCTCTCAGCTTGCCCCTCCACAGCCCAGTCATCTCAAAGAACTCTTTCCCATACCCTGTCACACTTAGACCTTCACAAAAACCACATTCCAGGCCTATGCCAGGGCCTACCCATTATGCCCCATGGGCAGGGGGACCACCTCTTCTTTCAGGGACTGTCCCCTGGGCCATCACCCTCCTGGTTTCCTCTCTTTCTCTCTGGCTGTGGCTTCTCAGGTTCTCTGGACTTCCCCATGGTCTGTCCCTGTTCTCTCCAAACTCTGCAACACTCCCCCCACCTCATCCCCCTTCTTCTCTATCCACCGAATCCATATTCCAGCACAGACAGGGATTCAGAGCCCCGCAATGCAACTAGGCCCAGTCTGAAACCAGGGGGTTGTTTTCCTCTCCTCTCTTCTTTTGCCCTCACACCTCAAATATTGCCAATTCTGCCTCCTGAACTTCCCAGGCCAGCCCTCTTCCCCGACTTCCCATGACAGTTTCCTCAAGGGCCACTACTGTCTTCAGGTCCCTGAATCCAGCTCTCCATGCTACCAAAGGGATAGCCCAGAGCCTGCAGCTAGGCCTCCATCAGGGGCTGAGCCTCCACAATGCAGGCAGAGGCAGGCTATGCTGCTCTCAGACCAAAAAGAAAATGAAATGGGCTCCTAATGCCTAGCTCCATCTGCCACCCACCAGGAAAAACAAGTGTCAAAGAGAAGCTGCCCAGAGCCCACAGGATAAATCACTGAGGGCTTGAACACTAGTAACTCAGGATTGGGAGGATGTCAAGTTGACCATGTGACAGATTCCCAAACTCTTGTTTCCAGTGGGCCTTCACCTGGCCATGCACCTGGATAATGTAGTGCAAGGCAGAGTGGACAGTGAGGGTCAGACCTGTTCAGGGGATGGCAGGATGAGGCCCCATTAGACAAGAGGCCTGGTGAGCTCATGGTCAGGCTGCTCCCACCTGTCAGAGGGTCCTCTAAGCTGGCTCCATTCTGCCCATCTCTAAGCTCCCCAATAAGAGGAGGAGATACCCTGTATGTAATCTGTTTCCCCATTTTGCTGATCTGAATACTAGAAAGTGATGAATAAGTCTGTGGTTTTCTAAGAAGGTTCCATGTCAGATAAAGATCCTTCCGATGCCCGCCCCCCTGCACACCCCTGGTCTGGGGTTGTGGGCACGCTGCTGCTGCACATATAAGACAGGAGGCTTCTGTGGACTCCTGAGAACCTCACGCAGGACCAGGACAAGACAGAATGCATCCTGCCAGCCCAAACACGAGCAGCCTCTCTACCCTGCTCCTGCTCCTGTTCTTGTTCTGCTCTGGGCTCCGAGCTAACAACGGGCAGCCCTTGATCAAGGACTGCAATACAGTGATCCAGGAAATTAGAAGGAACCTAGAGAATTCTGGGCCTTTGCGTTTGGTGAGTAGCTGGGATAAGGTTGTTCTGGGCAGTTTGGCTCAGGTGGGTGGCTCAGGCCAACAAGCCTCATGACCCTCTCTCCTTCTGTCCCTACAGAACTCCACCAACAAGGAAGACCGATGGCTCTTGAGGGTAAGAGTTCAGCCCTGCACTGGGGCACACCAGATCCCAATCCTCCACCCCTCCTCTGCGTGACCTCAGCAGTCACTCTACCTGGTTTAGCATCAGTTTTGTTTTTTTTTTTTAATCTGTAGAATAGAACCCATCTTGGTGGGGTGATTGTAAGAATCAAATAATGCAATGTGTTTAATGTTCCCAGACCAGAGGATGGCCCTTAACGGGTGTTTACTATGTGGTCCCAGCCATGGATTTAATAATGAAAGATTTTTTTAAAATTAGGAAATGAAAAGGCAGCTCTAGTTGAATAACACCAGGGGCTCAGTTTTCAGTGGAGCAGCCACTAGGTTGGCAGACTAGTACTTCAGTACTATCTGTATCTGTATCTGCCACCAGGTTGGCAGACTAGAATTTCCCCTGGTCATGCACCTGTTTCCTTCCTTTCCCTTAAAAAATAGTGTTTGTGTTTTCTACTCTCACCAGCCCCAGGGATTATCATTTACAGCTACTTTTCATAGTTCCAGCCAGCTGCAATGGTTATGTCTCACCTTTGTTTGTTTGAACATGCAATTGAGGTCTTTCCCAAGTTTACTGGCCATTTATATTTCCCTTCTTTGGGAAAATTCACCCATCTGCATGCTGTTGTCCTGGTGATTTTCTTGCTGATTTCTAGAAACCCTTAATTTGATTAAGGCATCAATCCTGATATCTGAGTTCTTGGGCACAAATACTTCTCTGGCCAACCCTCCGCTTTTTCTAAAGCTTCTGTTGGGAGTTGTTTTATCCCCAAGTGTAGAAAAATCTACCCAGGCTCTTTATGTAGCTCATATGGTGCCAGGGGTTGGTGCTTGGGGGAAGAAGGCCTTGCTGAGGTATGCATTTGCTTCAAGGATCATGCTTTTGAGGGCAGCTCAGGGACCCACCTGGGGCAAGGAGGGAACCAGGAGGAAGTTATCCAACAATACCCCTGACAGCAGGCTCAGAAGATTATGCAGTCTGGTCATGGGAAGGACATGTCCCAACTCTCCAGCCCTTATATATATTCTTTGTCCCCTTAGAATACCTCTCGGATGCAAAACCTGAATGTATTCTTGGAAGCTGCTAAGAATTTGACGAACAAAGGGAACATCAGTAGCCAACTAGAGGTATGTGAACCTGTAGAAGGTATTTGAGATCCCTGCCTTGACCCTGCTCAACCTCTGGGAAGGAGAATATCAGGGTCTACTCCTTTTCTGGGGGAGTCTCTGACTGTCTGCTTTGGTCTCTTCCACAGTTTCTTAAGACATGCTTGTCCAACGAAGAGCCCACAGTCGCACCCATGACCACACCCACGGTAAGCTGTCCCTCCAGATGCCCCTGCAGGTGGCAACACTCAGCCTGCCATCCCCTTTACAACCCAGACTCCTCTAATTCCATCTTCTTGGCTTCTTCACAGAGAAAGCCCATTGTTATCAGAAAGGGCAACTTGGATGACTTCCGGAAGAAACTTCAGTACTATCTGTACATCCTTGAGGAGAGCTGGATTCAGCACTGAACCCCAGAATCCCCCATCAGACATCTGGCTCTGTCCCTGGGTCTTCTCAGCATGGGACCTTGGGATGCGCAAAACAGCAGAGCATCTGAAGATTCTGGATATCTTTCACACAGTCCAGCACTGGAAGGATTACATTCTCTCCTGTAGCATCAGATAAATTGCTAATCATCTAATTTCTGGAATGTGCAGCTCCCTTTTGACCTTGCACAATTATGTTCTCAATTTCATCCCATGGAGTCTATTTATTTATGTATTTATTTATTTATTACCTTCTGTAATATGTATTTATTTTAGCAGAGGAGCCATGTCTTGCTTCTTTTGAAACAAAATTGAACTCCAGGAGGCCTGGGAGCATGTTCATTTGTACCTCAGGTTTTAAACAGGTTTCTAGGCATGTGTGAAAATAAACCAGATTCCCTGAACTTTGTCGCCAGTGTCTCAGTTTGACTCGGGTCTTAGCATTCTAGATGTGTACCATGACTTTTCGGTGCTCTAGGCTGCAGTGTGGATGCTGTCCTAGTTCATATTCTCACCACCCTCCCATCACCCCCATGCCCTGATAGGTGATAACCCTAGTAATGACGAGTGGCACAGAACTCTCAACATGTACCAGGCATGGATCTGAGCATTTTTCCTATGCTAACTTAGTCCTCACCCTACCAAAAAATATGCTTTGCTTTATGGGAACCCTGAAGTTCAGAGCAGCTGAGCAACTTGCCTAAGTTCACACAGCAAGTGCCCTCAGGACTTGATTGATTCAGGTGCTGCTCCTCCACAGTCCGTGGAATGGCTCCACCTAGTGGTAATTCAAAAAACTGCAGCAGCATCCCCAACTCCTCCCAGGGCAAGTCCAGCAATAAACACTCCCTAAGACCCCGCAATGCAGCAGGCTTGGGGATACAGACCATCCAGACTCCACAGTTCCACTCCTTCAAGATTCTCCAAGCCTGGAGTCTCCAGCCTCTCTTGTCTGATTTAGTAGATTCCTGCAGGCCTCCCTGCTTCAGACCAGCCCTAGAACACATTCATTAACAATCTGATCAACTGGGGAGCCAGATTGAGGTTTAGAAAATGCAAGCCTGACAATGATGGTCTGACACTTAGTTCTTCAATCTGTGGGGTCTTCCAGACCTTGTCTATGTCCATGTCCTTAGGATAGCTCATAGGGCTTACCTTTACTTTTTGCTTATATTTCCCCACAACTGCCAACCTCTTATATACTCCAGCCAATAGTCTTCTCTGTCTTCCTAGAGTACCACACATCTGTCTTCATAACTCTAAATCTTCACCTTTCCTTTAGCCTGCAGGCTCTTACACTGGCATGTAAGAGACCAGCTCCAATGCTGGCTACCTCTGAATTGTACACACTGACCCACAATGGGGCTCTTTCCTGAAAGAGGAGTGTAAGGACAATCATGTGGCCCTAGGTGGCTCAGACTCTCTTGACTGGTGGAGGATGGGACATCATTGGGTGCGGTTCTGTCTGCCACTTGTGTGCCTCCCTTCTGGCTCCCCTGCCCAGTATTGCCTCCTCCAGTCTGGGGGAGTAGGGGAGAAGGGGTGGGGAGAAATAGATGTAGAAATCATATGTCGGGGTCTTGTTCCCCTCTTTTTTTCTCCTTTCCACCTTGATCCATTCCTCACTTGAGGTTATAAGGTAGGGAACAGCCCATCTGCTTGAATAGTATAAAAGGTAGCAGATTTATCTACTACTAGCTCAAAAATGTATTCCTCCACATTCAATCTCCTACAAAACTTTATGTTCTCAAATAGATAACTTTCTTCTATCTCTGCCTCACCTCTCCCTATCCTGGCTCACTGAAGAACTGGTGAGAGATCAGGGGAACATTTTGTTGGACTTGACTCAGGGTATTGGAGACATTGATGCAGTTTCTGGAAGGACCACTAGGGGGAGTATGCTATTAAGCTTAGGGTGCACCCTAGTCCAGGAGGGCTGATGGGTCTGAGAGATGCATTGTTTGGATCTAGACTGCGTTTTCCAATTCACCTGCTCACCCTCCCACATCCCCACCCAAAGACCCTCCCTCCTGCACCTGGTGGCTAGTCCTATTTTCATCTTGATAAAGCAGCGTCTGTGCCTTGTCCTCATATTCCCACGATGAGTCCCTGCTTGTCATCACTTTGCTCTTTGGTGTGAGGCTCAGCTGTCCTTTCCTCTGTGGTCATGATATCCACTGCCTTGTGGCCTAACAAGCCATATTTTCCCCACACCTGGTCCTATGGGGACCCAGGGCCAGTGGTGAGCTTTATTGGCTCAAATAATTAATTGTTAAATCTTTTTTAAAAATTGCCAGCTAGTTATTAAATTATCAGAAACTTAAAATTGGCCACAGGGAGAGTATTTACACCATGGAAATTGGCAAACACCTCAAAGCAGACTCTATCCCCTGGGAGTCTGCTAAACTTTCATCAGCGATTGGAGCCTCCCTCACTTGAGGTGCAGGCAGGGAGCCAGCACTCTGTTGGCTCTTTGCTCTTGCCTGGCTGTCCCCTCCCCCTTTCCTGAAGCTCCCGGCCCTTGGTCCTGGAGCCACAGTATTCTCACCCCAGGCTGCATGGCACTGGTAGTTCTTAATCAGCACTGATTGGCTGAGCACCTAAGTGGCAGACCCTATATTGGATGCTGGCGATATGGCAGTGAAATAGACAGATGGCGGGGAGGGTCTAGGAGGTTGCTTTTCATGGGGTGGTTTGGGAAGGCCTCTCTTGGGTTGAGAACTGAGTGACAAGAAAGTGCCAGCAATGTGACAATCTAGGGAAAAGAGCTCTGGACAGAGGGAATAACAATCAGAGACCAAAAATGACCTGTGAGCATTCATGGAGCAGAAAGATGACCTGGAGTGGATTCTGATAAGAAGCCTACAACTCTCCCTCAATCTCTCTCCCTTCCCTCCCCAGGCCTGGGCGGGGCACTGAATACAGGGTGGGGAGGAGGCTCTGTGTTAGTGAGCAATGACTGCAGTAGGCGGGGGTTAGTGGTGGGGTCAGACATATAACTGGTGCAGGAAGATGAGCAGGTAGATGTTGGGGAGGGTGGTCAGATGGACAAGACCCATGGCAGGAGCAGGAGTGACTGGTAGAGGTGTCACACTTGAGACAGGAGTGGGCCTTTTTAGATGTTCATCCTTTCCCCTCTTCTGGAATAGTCCAGCCTGCAGCCTGGGGCCAGGTTGGAGTTCAGGGGGACCACTGGCCTCACCACTCAGGCTTACCCTTGACTGCAAATTTCAGACCTTTCCTGGGGCCAGCACAGCCTGGCCCACACATAGCCTTATATTGAGTGGTGATCAGTCCTTGGACAGGTTGGGGGAATTTCTGCATGCTGTAGACTTAGGTTGAATGTTTATGTCACCATTCATATTCTTTTTTAAAAAAATTTATTTATATATGACAACGGAATGCATTACAATTCTTATTACACATATAGAGCACAATTTTTCATATCTCTGGTTGTATACACAGTATATTCACACCAATTTGTGTCTTCATACCTGTATTTTGGATAATAATGATCATCACATTCCACCATCATTAATAAGCCCATGCCCCCTACCTTCCCCCCCACCCCTCTGCCCTATCTAGAGTTCATCTACTCCTCCCATGCTCCCGCTCCCTATCCCACTATGAATCAGCCTCCATGTATCAAAGAAAACATTCAGCATTTTTTTGGGGGGGGGATTGGCTAACTTCACTTCTCATTATCTTCTCTAACTCCAACCATTTACCTGCAAATGCCATCATTTTCTTTTCTTTTTTTTGCAAAGTAATATTCTATTGTGTATATATGCCACATTTTTTTTTTCCATTCATCTATTGAAGGGCATCTAGGTTAGTTCCACAGTTTAGCTATTGTGAATTGTGCTGCTATAAACATTAATGTGGCTGTGTCCCTGTAGTACACTGTTTTTTTTAAGTCCTTTGGATATAAACTGAGGAGAGGGGACAGCTGGCTCAAATGGTGGTTCCATTCCCAATTTTCCAAGAAATCTCCATACTGCTTTCCATATTGGTTGCATCAATTTGCAATCCCACCAGCAGTGTATTAGTGTACTTTTCCCCCACATCCTAGCCAACACTTATTGTTTGTCTTCATAATAGCTGCCATTCTGACTTGAGTGAGATGAAATCTTTTTTTTTTAAAAGAGAGAGAGAATTTTTTTAATATTTATTTTTCAGTTATCGGTGGGCACAACATCTTTGTTTGTATGTGGTGCTGAGGATCGAACCCGGGCCGCACGCATGCCAGACGAGCGTGCTACCACTTGAGCCACATCCCCAGCCCCTGAGAGATGAAATCTTAGAGTGGTTTTGATTTGCATTTCTCTCATTGCTAGTGATGATGAACATTTTTTCATGCATTTGTTAATTGATTGTTCATCATCTTCTGAGAAGTGTCTCTTTAGGTCCTTGGCCCATTTATTGATTGGGTTATTTGTGGGTTTTTTTGTTGTTGTCGTTTAGCTTTTTGAATTTTTTTTTATAACCTAGAGATCAGTGCTCTATCTGATGTGTAAGGGATAAAGATTTGCTCCCAAAATGTAGGCTCTTGATTCACCTCACAGATTGTTTTTTTGCTCAGAAGAAACTTTTTAGTTTGAGTCCATCCCATTTATTGATTCTTGATGTAAATTCTTGCACCAGAGGAGTCTTATTAAGGAAGTTGAGGCATAATCCCACATGATGGAGAGTAGGGCCTACTTTTTCTTCTATTAGACGCAGGGTCTCTGGTTGTATTCCTATGTCCTTGATCCGTTTTGAATTTTTATGCATGGTGAGAAATATGGGTTTAATTTCATTTTGTTGCATATGGATTTCCAGTTTTCCCAGCACCATTTGTTGAAGAGGCTATCTTTTCTCCAATGCATGTTCTTGACACCTTTGTCTAATATAAGATAATTGTAGTTTTATGAGTTAGTCTCTGTGTCCTCTGTTCTGTACCATTGGTCTACCAGTCTGTTTTGGTGCCAATACCATCATGT